GCTTGTTATATATTTAACTAGGGTCACTATGACCTATTGTATGAGGATTCCATTTCTTTTACGTAAATACCTCATTCCTTTCTCTCAAAACCTTGCGACACCCTGAGTTTACTTTATAAGAGAACAGGCAGTGAAAACAAAAGAGTGTGAAATTCCATACGGTAGAATTCTTCCCAGGCAGCATGGGAACAAATTTTCTTGAGTAAATATTCAAACAGTTACCTGGTACTTCTATTCTCAATCCCTCCCTTTCTTTCTCACATTCATACATCATATTGTGCCTAGTATATTCTGCCTAAACCATAGCCTTGTAGACTGTTTTAAGTGTAAGGTTTGTCGCATTCTGTATAAAAACCTGAATACAACATTTCGACCTACAACTTAACCAAAGCTTAGAAAAGTTAGTCTTTGGACTACAGCACAATGGGAAGAAAAGTCAGCAGATGTTCACAAATATTTATTTATTTATTTACTGCATTTGTGAGAGCTGAACCATAGGGAAGGCTGAGCGAAGGAAGATAGATGCTTTTGAACTGTGGTGCTGAAGGAAAGTTCTGAGAGTACCTTGGACCGCGAGAAGATCCAACCAGTCCATACTTCAGGAAATAAAGCCCACCTGCTCATTGGAGGGAAGGATATTAGAGGCAAAGATAAAGTATTTTGGCCACATAATGAGAAGAAAGGAAAGCTTAGAGAAGACAATTATGCTGGGGAAAATGGAAGGAAAAAGAAAGAGGGGCCGATCAAGGGCAAGATGGATGGATGAGATCTTTGAAGTGACTGGATTGACCTTGAAGGAGCTGGGGGTGGTGACGGCCGACAGTGAGCTCTGGCGTGGGCTGGTCCATGAGGTCACGAAAAGTCGGAAATGACTGAACGAATGAACAACATATTTATTTATTTCACATATTTGTATCCCGTCCATCTCACCCCTGAGGGGGGACTCAGGGCAGCTTATAACAGTCAACTATTTGATGCCATCACATAAATGTATAAATAACAATTAAAACAGTTAATTAAAACAATTATTAAAACAACATTTAAAAGCATGCAAATTCATAATTATAGTCCAGGTCAAACCATTGTCAGCCACATAGAATCGGTCTCATTCTTGATTGCTGCATCTATTGTTCGAATGCTTGGTCCCCCAATCATGTTTTCAGTTTTTTCTGAAAGATAGGAGGGAGGGGGCTGATCTGATGTCATTGGGAAGGGAGTTCCACAGACGAGGGACCACCACTGAGAAGGCCCTGTCTCTCGTCCGAGAGCAGGGCCTCTCCTGACAATCTTAACCTTCATGATGGTTCATATATCACTTTTCTCCCCCTAAGGGAACTCAAAAGCTGTTTCCAACATTATAAAGGCAAAATTCAATGCTGTACATACACGTGAAAACCAAAAGATAACAGCAAGACAATAACATTTAACTATAAATTAACCTAATCAAGTTAAAGCATAAACATAAAAGAACATCTAGACATAGAACATAAAGAATTAAACATTGATAACATTTATATTTTAAAAATAGCTCTGTCAAATTGTGTAATAATATTGGACCAATGTTAAGCTGCCGCTGTAGTGGCTACTAAGCTTGTTGAGAAGGAAGAAAATGTATTATTGTAAATTCATATGTAAATTTGGGACTGTCTGCTTCTCATTCAAAGGACATAGCTTTGATCATTGGCAATGCTAGTTGGTGTTTTTAATATGGAGAATAGTGTTCCCATTCTCCTTCATTAACTCAAGTAAAGATGGGAACATTAAGGATTTAATTAACATTTATTGTTCCATGGCAAAGGGGGTTAGACTGGCTGGTCCTTGCATCGTCCTCTGAAGACTAGATACCTTGAGAAAGCTTTGATCTTTTGGTGCCACTGTAACCTCTGGTCTGATTGACTGATCAAAGTGGTAGCTGAAGTGTCTTCGGGTTAAATTTATGTGTACAGAGAATTTTTGTGGGTGTGCCCTGTACATCACCTCTTTGACCCTCAGAGTTGATTTGGGTTTTTTTCTTTCCAATGGACTGTGATTTTTCCCTCACAATCCTGTTTTAGAACTACTTCTGTTTGTGTACTGTGGGTTGATGTCATAAACTGTGTTTTTAGTGCAGGGCTTGCCACCTTCATCCCTTGTGCTAACAGATGTACATGCCAATACAAACTCAGATGATCAAAGAAAACCATACTTGTGGTATAGTAACACAAAGCTTCTGAATTTTGTTCTTCTAGATAACTCCATGGCATCCATTCAATGTTTTTCAGGATGTTAAAATTGAATCATAGATGACTGACATGTTCAGCTGATCTGCCAAAACAAAGAGGGCTTGATACTATATTGTGCCAGAAAGCAAATAGGTCACATCTTTAAAATTTACTCTGCATTTTATTAAAAGCTCCTTTTTTTACAATACACATCTTGCATTTGGGCAGCAAGTTTAATCCTTTACAAGTTTTCTACAGGTACTGAGGTTTTCTATCGGGAAGCATTCATGTAAATGTTTTCTGTCATTCTAAACTGGTGAAAACCTAGAGAGAACGAGATTGAGATTAACCATAGTTTAAGATTCAAAAATTGCAGATGTTTCCGACTGACAGCTACACCAGTGAAATGAAGAAAGTGCATCATTCTAAAACTTAGTGAAATTCAGTTCTCCTAATGTTAAACGTGCGTAACACTATGTGTAAAGCAGGTCAGCATGTTCTCCTGACTTTGATTTACATAAATGGTTATTGTGTTTTAAGACTGATCTAGTCTTACAACCTGATCACATGGGCTTTCAGCCCCATCCTAGGACACTGCTGAGATGCAGCCAGAACGGAGCCTGCCAGAGCCCATCACATGATGCAGAGCTACTTCTTTTGAGGCTCCGTGCCAGCTCTGCAGCATGCTAAGCACCAATCCTGAGAACATGCTAAGCACCAATCCTGAGAACATGCTAAGCTCCAATCCTGAGAACATGCTAAGCACCAATCCTACCCATGTTCTTATAAGACAAGCTAGGGACGACACTGGAGCAAGCCAGGGCCAAACAGATAACAGTGTGGGATGGTAAAAGGGCGATGTGGGGCACTGCCCAATGATTCACCCTGCTTCCCGACAGATTCACCAAGCTGCCTCACAGATGCCCCTGCTGGCCCCTGGCCTAAGTACCTCCATGTAATGAGGTCCTTAGAGATCTGTTATAAGCTAGAGAAGACGTCTATATCTGAATTAGGGTTTTCTTATCTGATTTCTACATTATCTTAGCTGCATTCACACTGAAATACAACACTGCCTGAGCTCTGCGAGTGCAGCATTTTTCGAATGAAGCAGAGAGTGTTTCAGGACTGAGACATCCATAGGGATACCAAGGTGCTTGTTTATAAAGCTATTGTCCTCCCAACCCTGCCATACACCTGCGGGATATGGACTGTCTACAGATGTCACATGGAACTCCTAGAATGATTCCATCAGTGTTGCCTCTGAAAAATCCTGAAAATCTCTTGGGAAGGCAAGCAGACAAAATGTCACTGTGCTGGAAGAAGCAAAGACCACCAGCATTGAAGTGATGGTCCTCCACCATCAACTTCGCTGGACCAGCCACATTGTCCAGATGCCCAACCACCATCTCCCAAAGCAGTTGCTCTACTCCAAACTCAAGAATGGAAAACTGAATGCTGGTGGGCAGGAAAAGAGATTTAAAGATGGGCTCAAAGCCAACCTTAAAAACTCTGGCATAGACACTGAGAACTGGGAAGCCCTGGCCCTTGAGCTCTCCAGCTGGAGGTCAGCTGTGACCAGCAGTGCTGTAGAATTCGAAGAGGCATGAATGGAGGGCGAAACAGAGAAACGTGCCAAGAGAGAGAGAGGTATCAAGCCAACCCTTACCGGGACCGCCTTCTACCTGGAAACCAATGCCCTCACTGTGGGAGAACATGCAGATCAAGGATAGGGCTCCACAGTCACCTAAAGACCCACTGCCAGTGCACCAATCTTGGAAGACCATCCTGCTCAGTCAACGAGGGATTGCCTAAGTAAGTAAGTTAGCTGCAACTTTTAGTTGCCATAGTTGCTTTTATTTATATTGATTTTGTTCTATTTTAAAATAACTTTTTGGTGTGAACCTCTGAAAGGCGTTTATATTGAAATAAATATTGGCCTTAAATTTGATCACTCTGACATATTTCTGGGGTACTATATTTTTGTGTGTTTTGCTTAAAGTTTGATTTTGGTTCATGTCCATAATTTGTGCCAATATAGCCAACAGGATCATAACCAATGGACATGCAATGTTTACACTAGTATTAGAAGATATGCAATTCTCCATATACTACTGGACTGCAAATCTCAGCAACCATAACCAAGTATAGTCTGTGATGGGGGATGTTGGGCATCTATAGTCCAATTTTGATTTTTATTCATCATGTTGCTATTCCTAAATTTCAAATTATTTCACACTCTGATGTTCATTTTTGTAATATTGTACAAGGCATTCAGAATTTCTCCCTCCTTTCCTCAGGAATCTGATAATCTTTTGGCTCCTGGTCTTTAGGTGTATTTTGGCTTTTTATTTCCTATCTTATCTCTGGTATGATAGGCAAACAACCTGTCTCTTGCAGGAGTATGCAAGAATCACAGGGATGACTCAGTGACTGAATTTGATCTGTTAATCACTTTTCACAAGCCCACAACCTCTGGCCTTTTCTTAAGATAACACTGAAACATATTCATTTTGTTGTTGCTGTTCTTATTGTTCTCAATGTATGCTTTCAAGTTGTTGCTGTTCTACTGTGACTCTTTCATGAGGGTTTTCTTGGCAGAATTTGCTCAGAAGGGGCTTCCTCTGAGGCTGGGAGAGTATGACTTACTCAAGGTTACTTAGTGGGCTTCTGTGGCTATGCAAGGATTCAAACTATGTTCTCCAGAGTTGTAGTCCAACTCCTAAGCTACTACACCATTCTGTTCATACTATTGTTGCAACCAATGTGGCCAATTAATCCCTGCCTTTTTCTCTCTTCCAGGCTATGGTAACTTGAGTCCCAGCACAGAGGTTGCCCAGGTCCTCTGCATCTTCTTCGCCCTCTTTGGAATCCCCTTAAACCTGATACTCCTGAACAGAATAGGGCAGCTAATGCTCTCCGCAGTTCAGCTCTGTGCCTTCCGCCTGGGAGAGAAGTTCCAGTGGCAGGTAAGCAGTATGGTTCCTTTATGGTGATTTAATACAGGTCGATAAAATGGTTATCTGTCATGACTTGAATTGTTGCAGAACCTTCAACCAGCCCTGTATTGTAAGAAGAATTGCCTGGATTTGCAGGTTAACTTGCTACCCAATGCTCACCAAAGCTTCCTCTTCATCCTGGAAAGAAGTGACAAGTGGAGTGCCGAAGGGCCCGTCCTAGGCCTGGTCCTGTTCAACATCTTTCTAATGACTTAGATGAAGGGTTAGAAGACACGATCATCAAGTTTTCAGACAACATCAAATTGGAAGGGAGACCTAATACACCAGAAGTCAGGAGCAGAATTCAAAACGATCTGAACAAATTAGAGAAATGGGCCAAAACTAACAAAATGAAGTTCAACAGGGACAAATGCAAGATACTCCACTTAGGCATGAGCCAACAATGTAATGCAGCTTAAAATGCCAATGGGATTTTGGCCTGCATCGATAGCAGTATAGTGTCTAGATCCAGTGAAGTCATGCTACCCCTCTATTCTGCCTTGGTCAGACCACACCTGGAATACTGTGTCCAATTCTGGGCACCACAATTGAAGGGAGACGTTGACAAGCTGGAATGTGTCCAGAGAAGGGTGACTAAAATGATCAAGGGTCTGGAGAAGAAGCCCTATGAGAAATGGCTTAAAGAACTGGGCATGTTTAACCTTCAGAAGAAAGGCTGAGGGGAGACATGATGGCCACATTATATAAATATGTGAGAGAAAGTCATAGGGAGGAGGGAGCAAGCTTGTTTTCTGCTGCCCTGGAGATTAGGACGTGCAACAATGGCTTCAAACAACAGGAAAGGAGATTCCAACTGAACATTAGGAAGAACTTCTTGACTGTGAGAGCTGTTCAGCATTGGAACTCTCTGCCCCAGAGTATAATGGAGGCTCCTTCTTTGGAGGCTTTTAAACATAGGCTGGGTAGCCATCTGTTGGGGGGGGGGCTTTGAATGCGATTTTCCTGCTTTTTGGCAGAGGGTTGGACTGGATGGCCCATGAGGTCTCTTCCAACTTATTGATTCTATGATTCTATGAATTCAGTGGGGCTTATTGTAGCACCTTTGAGACAAACTGAAAGAAAAGTTTGTAGCACCATCTTTTGTAAACTGAGTCTTTTTGCAAACTAGTTAACGACTTCATACGGGGTAATTTGGTGGCATATGCTAGTTCCTCCTATTTGCGCCATAGATGTAGAGTTTTGGATAGCATAGGGATAGTATATATATTGGATAGCATAGGAATATCTCATATATATCTATAGAAATAAAAATGTAATGTTCGTTTGTGGGATTAACATAACTAAAAAACTAGTGGACAAATTGACACCAAATTTGGACACAATACACCTTTCAACAAGTGACCACCACTCATAAAAACACTGATAAATTCAATGGAAGAGACTTAAAAAGCCAAAAAATAATAAAATACATTACAATGCATGCACATAACCACATATTTACAAATACACACATATATATACACACAAAACACATATACATAGACTGGTCCACAGCAACACGTGGCAGGGAACGGCTAGTGTGTGTGTATATGTGTGTGTGTGTGTGTGTATGTGCACGTGTGTGCGTGTGTGTGTGTGTGTGTGTGTGTGTGTGTGTGTGTATATATATATATATATAGGTAAAGGTAGTCCCCTGACATTAAGTCCAGTCATGTTTGACTCTGGGGTGTGGTTCTCATCTCAATTTCTAAGCCGAAGAGCCAGCGTTGTCCGTAGACACCTCCAAGGTCATGTGGCCGGCATGACTGCATGGAGTGTCGTTACCTTCCCGCCGGAGCGGTACCTATTGATCTACTCACATTTGCATGTTTTCAAACTGCTAGGTTGGCAGAAGCTAGGGCTGACAGCGGAAGCTCACGCCACTCCCCGGAATCGAACCTGCGACCTTTCGATCAACAAGCTCAGCAGCTCAGTGCTTTAACCCACTGCACCACCGGGGGCTCCTATATATATATTACAGATTTTCTTTCTGCTGTTTTAACACATTACTCTGACTTGCCAACACAACCAGAAGTTGGCTATCCCTTCTGCTTAGGTACCTTTTAAATGTTGAAACAGAATTCAGAAATTATTCAGTTCCTTTTGTAATCTAGATCTTTAAAATGCAACCAGCTTCGTAATTTATAGATGTAAAAGATTCCCCACCCTCAGAACTTCAGAATATTTTGGTCTGCACTGCATCATAGATCCAAATGGCATGTGAATCATAGTTTCCATTAAGGCAAAAAAAAAAAAGCCTTTCTGTAATATATATCTGAAGTAGGAAAAGGAAGATTTCACCAAAATCGAATACAAGTGGCTAAATATAGTGGCACTTTTAGGTAGGTTGTGATAAAAGCTAGTCGCTGTTATTTCATTGAAAAGTTGTTTTAAACTCCTGCTATCTTTCCTCTTCATGTTTTGCTCCCTTCATATTATGTCTGGGCAGGACTCACATTCCTTATGTTATCTACTGGCCTTTTGCTTACTCTATGAAGTGTCCAGAAAACATGATGCAGCCTGAAAGAGGCTAGGATGGAGGACTGCTCCTGAATAGTTGTGTAACTTTTCTGGTAGTCCTTAGTTCATCATAGGTTGAATCTGACGCTATTCCACAGACAGTAGACATCAGGATACTATATGTATTACAAGTTAAATTCCTAAAGTTCTCACTCATAAAATCTGTGTTTAAGTCAAGATGGAAAAAAATCCCATTGAAAGAAAATGTGATTGTGTTTGATTAAGAATGTTTTCTGTCTGTAGAAGGAGTTCCCAGGTCTAAAAATGACTTTCAATAATAAAACAACGGGGAGCTCCACCTTATTATTATTATTATTATTAGTAGTAGTAGTAGTAGTAGTAGTAGTAGTAGTAGTAGTAATACTAGTATTTCCTACACACCACTCCCTATGGATCAAGGTATGGGATACCATATGTAATAGCAGTTAGAAACATTTAACATCAATTAAAAATATGCAAACTTGTAAAGGTGACAGTGGGGAACCTCAGCTGCATATGACCACTCTATCAATAGAAGGAAATAAAGAAGGAAGGAAATAAGGAAATAAATGTAGGATAAAATCTGCGCCCAAATGTACAGTGTTGCCTGCCTTAATCTATGAGAACCTCCTTTGACTTCCCCTTTGTGGTGATTGCTTCTCATTAGTCATGGATCATGAATTTTCCTGGAAGATGGAAGTTCAGATCCAAGCTAAGCCATGAACTGCTGGGAGAAACGATATCCAGTTTCTCACTGGTGAATGAGTCACAGAGTGACCAATAAACGCCAAACCCACAAAATTGGGAAGGATCAAAAGACTCTTGAAAGACCAGACAACCTCCTCCAGACACCAGCCTTTCCAATCCAAGCCACAGTCCACCACAGTTCGAGGTCAGATCTGTTGTGGCATGGTGCTTACATAGCAAATAAACTGAGATTACTTGGGCAGATGGTGAGTTGTGCTGAGGTTCCCATTTCCGAGATGCCAGATCACTGGTTCCCAGCCTTGGATCACCAGATGTGGTTGGCCTGCATCTTTCAGAAGCCACAACCAGCATTGCCAATTATCAGACATTCTAGAAACAATAATCCAGCAGCATTTGAGGATCCAAGCTTGGGAGCATCTATTTTAAAAGAACCATTCATAGTGGTTCCCATCTGCAGACTTTCATGCCTATAACAATGCTATTGAATATGGCTAATTGTAAACCAAGAGATGTAGGTTTTTAATGGGATTAATTTTAATTGGGTTTTATTGCTTTTACCAACAAGATCCGGTTCTGTGATGTTTTTAGTGGTACTATATGCCTTAATTGTTGTAAAGTTTTATATTGGTTGAGCCTGGAACCTCAGGTCTCAGCTAGGGGAGCTTTTGTGCAATTAAAACTTGTGCGCTAGCTGCACCCTCACCTTGAGAAGTCTGACTTGGCCATGGTAGTCCATGCTCTTGTTACATCCTGAATAGACTACTGCAATGCACTCTACATGGGGTTGTCCCTGAAGACTGTTCAGAAGCTTCAACTAGTCCAACGGGCAGCAGCTGGATTGTTCACTGGAGTGTGGTACAGAGAGCACACAACCCTCCTGTTATGCCAGCTCCACTGGCTGCCAGTCTGCTATCAAGCACAATTCAAAGTGCTGGCTTTAGCCTATGAAGCCCTAAACGGTTCTGGCCCAGTTTACCTGTTCGAACGCATCTCCGTCTATGAACCATCAAGGAGGCTAAGATTGTCCAGGGAGGCCCTGCTTTCAGTCCCACCTCCCTCACAAGTGCCACTGGTGAGGACAAGGGACAGGGCCTTCTCAGTGGTGGTGGCCCCTCAGCTGTGGAACTCTCTCCCCAATGAGATCAGGTCAGACCCCTCCCTCTTGTCCTTTCAGAAAAAAACTTAAAACATGGTTGTGGGACCAAGCATTTGAGCAGTAGATGCAGCAATTAGAATGAAAATGATTTTATGTGACCAGCAATGGACTGACCTTGGACTATGATTCTGAACTGTCAGAACTTTTAAATGAATGTTTTAATAATTGATTTTAACTGTTGTTTTAACTGTAACTGTTAGTTTATAATTTATGTGTTGGCATTGAATGATTGGCTGTTATGAAGCTGGCCTGAGTCTCCCTTCGGGGGTGAGAAGGATGGGGTACAAATGCGTGAAATAAATAAATAAATAAATAAATAAATAAATAAATAAATAATATTTATATGGGTGATGTTTATGAGTTATAATTAATATGTTTATTTATATTTATCTTTCTTCTTTGCATTGTGATTTGTCTTTTTTATTCATTTGTTTTGATTAAAACTTTTTTGGATTGTAAGTGTGACTGATATTATGTAAATCGTTTCCTCCTGTTGTAAGCCCCTTGGGGAGAGGGGGCAGGATATAAATAAAGCATTATTACTACTGTTGCTGCTGCTGCTATATTTTTAGCTTTTTCTTCGTGTTTGTATGGATTTTTAGAAGTACATGGTTTTTTTTAAAGAATCTGAGCTGCCTCACCTCCAGTGTTGAAATAAACACCAGGTATGATACTGTTGAACCACACAGGGGGAAAAAGAGTTAATCTCTCAACATTTAGAGATGCTAGAACTTGAAAAGCATGCTTTTGGGAATTATGAATCCCCAAATCCCACAGCCAGCCTGGCTAGAATCTAGAGAGCATACTTCTGTCCACAGGTAATTAACTAGTTTAAATACTGCACATCCTTGCAATTATCTTACTTTAATAAACCAGCTCCTGCTGAATAAACCAAAAAGTTTCCTCATTATCCCTTATTTCCCCTACTTCTGTCAAATGTTATTGTAACTACATACATAGTTTTTTCTTCTTCAATCATTTGCATCTGAAATGGGGAATTATTATTATTATTATTTCCGTCACTTTTACCCCGCCCTTCTCACCCCCAAGGGGGGACTCAGGGCGGCTTACAGAGAAAGGCACAGTTCGATGCCTTGTCACATATACATACATATATAAAAACAATTAAGCAATTACAAATTAAAAATTAAATCATCAATACACAGCAACACCATAAACACAGTAGTACCATGACTTACTGTGCATAATAGTTTAATGTTCTGGTTAGGTTCCTCCATAGCTCCCTGTTTTGGACCTAATTTGGTCCTATAACGTAATGAAATCAGAATTACAGAAGTTAACTCTGTGCAAGAAAAATGATTCGACCTAAACTTTAAGAAGAATTTCCTGATAACAAGAGCCATTCAACAGTGAAATAGACTACTTTGGAGAGTGGTCAGCTCTCCTTCTTTGGACAATTGCAAACAGATATTAAATGGGCATCTCTCAGGAGTGCTTTAGTTGTGTATTCCAGCATGACAGATAGGTGTACTAGATGGCTTTTGAGTATATGCAATTTTTTTTGCAACCTGTCATGCAAGGGGAGGAAGGCACAGACTTACTACTCATTCCCAAACCCCATTTCCTGCTTTCTTAGCCATGATTTACAAGACCAGGAACATGATATTCCCTAAAGGCCCATTACAATCAAATAGCCCACAGTGGTCTTGAACATAGACTTTCTGTAGTCCATGACCATCATGTCCTCCCCACAGATTTAATTGTGATATTGGTCCAATAAGAATGCATCCCTCTTTTGTAGAATTATTCAACTTCCAGAACAAGGTTGTTAATACCTCTCTACCCTAAGATTTTTTCTTACAAGAGACACAAAATATATCCATCTGTCTGTTTCCTTACTGTTTTTTTTAATCTTTCCAGAAAGGAGCAGCTATCTTGACACGGACCTGTGCCCTGGTTGTTGGCCTTTTACTGTTTTTCCTACTACCTCCTCTGCTGTTCACTGCTATTGAAGGCTGGACCTATGAAGAAGGATTCTACTATTCGTTCATTACGCTTAGCACAATTGGCTTTGGGGACTATGTAATCGGTAAGTGCCAGTTAGTACTTGGACAAGAGATCACCAATGAATAACAGTTGCTGTCAACTATATTTCAAAAGAAGGAACTAGCAAAACCATCTGCATATTCCTTTCATAGAAAACCTTATCATCATAGGTGATCAAATGTGATTGTCTTCCAAGGTTCAAGTCTTGCCGGTGGGTCCACAAGTAACCGTGGAGGCATAATCTGGATCCACATGGTCTTTCACATTGTGGACATAGATTTCCAGATGGAAGGTGATCATGTCAAGGGTTAGCTCAGGCATGGGCAAACATCAGCCCCCAGGTGTTTTGGACTTCAACTCCCACAGTTCCTAATAGCCTAATGGTTGTTAGCAATTGTGGGAGTTGATGTCCAAAATACCTGGAGGGCTGAAGTTAGCCTATGCTTGGGTTAGCTTGTTGTGCTTTCTTCTTGGCATGTTTTTTCCCCTTTCACCCTGTATTCTGTGAAATTCACGATCAACAGATGACTTGAAGGCATGTACATACACAGCAAGTACTCCAGAGCATGGAAAAAGTTGCCATTTGGAATTGAAATTACCACTTTTACCCCTGTTGCTGTGCCAACTGGGAAGTAAAAAGAAAACAACACAGAAATCCAACCCACCCATTAATCAAATAAGTAACTTTCCCAAGCCTATCTTTGTAGACAAGAATTTAAGGAAATTTGACAAACTACTGGGTTTATTTATCTTGGCTGGGGATTTTATGTATTTGCGCATGTGTTCATTTCAGTATATATTATTGTGATGGATGACAAATGGCCTTTCAGGTGTGAGTGCAATAATGACAATGACTGTAAAGTTGGTGTGTAAACATTTCCTTCCACTGTTGTGACCTATATAGATGTTTTCGAAAATAAAATATAGAAATACTGTACTTAATGTTCACTGTAGCAAAGTTAGAGGAATTCCTGACATCGTGTTGCTCTCCTTAATGCAGAGATATCATGATTGTTCAGGGGGATATGTTTCCTGTGTGCAGGGCAAACTAATACGTTATAGCAGGAAACAAGTATAAAATACAACCCTTTACCTTTACCTGTAAGACATTTGACCTTTATTTTTCACGATGAGGTATGTGAGTAATGGAATCAGCCATCAGAGCAATGTCTGTTAGTTACACTTCTCTCATTCATAGTTTATTTGAATAACACATCCTTGAATGATGAAATCACCAGTCAGTGTATTCTTTGTCTTGGTCGATGACCTGGGCAATCCCCCATCCACTCCCAACATTCTGCAGACTGTCTACAGTTTGAGGATTTCAGTTCTCTCAGTCATTAAATATAGCCTAGCAACTGCCTAATTCCTGCTTGCTGTAGTTCATTATAAAGTACTTAGTATCAAATTACTAATTTTCAAATTGTCCTCCTCCTAAGAACATTATGTAAATGGCTAGCAACTGCCTAATGCCTGCTTGCTTTAGTTCATTATATGAAATACTTAGTATCAGATTGCTAATTTTCAGATTGAGTTGTTGTAGGTTTTTCGGGCTATATGGCCATGTTTTAGAAGCATTCTCTCCTGACGTTTCACCTGCATCTATCCTCAGTACTCATATGACTTGGTTTGATCCTCTGAGGATGCCTGCCATAGATGCAGGTGAAACGTCAGGAGAGAATGCTTCTAGACATGGCCATATAGCCCCAAAAAACCTACAACAACCCAGTGAGTCCAGCCATGGAAGCCTTCGACAATACAATATTCAGATTGTCTTCTCTCTTAAGGATATTGTGTAAATAGCATCTATGTTTTCTCCTTAGGCATGAACCCTGAGCGCACATACCCCAACTGGTATAAGAACGTGGTGTCTCTTTGGATTCTCTTTGGCATGGCATGGCTTGCCTTAATCATCAATCTTTGCATCAGCTTGCTGGAGAACTCCAGTGGCCTCTGCCAGTGCTGCAAGAGGAGGAGTAGAGAGATGGAACAGGACTTAAACAATGCCAACCCAAACAACAATTTGGGGCCTGAGGATAAAAACAACCACAATGAGAAAGACACCAAACTTGTGGTTCCGAATTGAACATTTATAAACTCTTTGTTCCCACTGAAGACTTTTGATTTTCTTTTTTTAAGGAGAGAAACAACTGGCTGGGCACTCCATCTTCTGACACAAGCACAGGTTGACTGAGAACTGCCTTGCACATGTTGCCTTTTCTACATAGAGCTTAATATGGCATAGGAGGAATATAAAAACACATGCCGTTTTGAGTGTAATCTACAATAGAGCTTAAATGGTTGCAAGGGCAAGAGCTGGGAACAAGTTCTAGCAGTGCTCATATGACTTGGTTTGATCATCACTATGTCCCAACCTATGGAGCATGTACGGAGGTTCCTGGTGAAGTTATACACTTGGGCAAGATGACTAAGGGTGTGGCAGCACTCACTTGCGGATGGTCACCTCATAAGCTTACAACGTAATGGTCAATGCTATCCTTCCCACTACACTGAGTATCTGTTTCTATCAGAAGGGGCTCATCGATGCTTATTATGCCTTATTGACTCTTACTTTTTATCAACAGCAACTAACTATAGTCAATAAAACAGAAGCAAAAAAATTGGTAAAATAACACAACAATTTGTATATACTCAAATAAAGTGTATTTTCATTCTTTTTTATGGAACTGTGTTGCTCTGAAAGTATCATTTGTTTGTTGTTATGGTTGTAGTAGTTGATGATAATGTTGTTGTGGTGGGGTGCCTTCAAGTATTTTCCAACTTATGATGAACCTATCACAGGATTTTCTTGTGCTGAAAGTGTGTGACATACCCAAGGTTACCCAGTGGGTTTCCATGGATGAGTGGAGAATCAAATCATGGTCTCCATTCCAACACATGAAATCACTACACGTTGTTTTCAAAGCAAAGTAAAATTGTCCTTTGCAGTTATCTGACTTTTGTTTCAGACATGACTGTTAGGGTAATATGTGGTTCTTCTTCTGGCCCAAATGAATGTGTGAAATAATATCTTGCAGACTTAATGAAATAGAACAGGGCTTTGCATATAGCATGAGACTTTTTAGAAATGCAAATAACTCAGAAGGACAGGGTGGGGATAGCTATTGCACAGAAAATGAAGCCTTTTTCCCGCTACTGCAGATTTCTGGAAAGTCCCCACCCACCTCAGCTAGGAAAGCTGTAAAAGGAAATTTCTCATTGGGCCTAATGTAATCACTGAAAAAACCCTGTTCAGCAGTTTTGATTCCACCATAGCTAGAACACTATGCAAGTTCTTCCCACTTTATTTTAATGAGCAATGTGAATGTTTCAGGAGAAGACAATATCTCAAGTCCAGTCTGTTTAAAGCTTGAAAGGTAATTGACATTTTTGACTGAAAGCTAGAAACACATTGATAATCACTGGAAAGTTGAAAGACAGGAGTAACCTGATCCCAAACACAGGGAATTGCTGACATTATATGCCACTGCATTCTGGGCCTGCTTTTTTTCATGTTAGGAGCGACTTGAGAAACTGGAAGTCATTTCTGGTGTGAGAGAATTGGCAGTCTCCAAGGATGTTGTCAAGGGGACGCCCGGATGTTTTGATGTTTTACCATCCTTGTGGGAGGCTGCTCTCATGTCCCCACATGGAGAGCCAGAGCTGACAGAGGGAGCTCATCCGCGCTCTCCCCAGATTTGAACCTGGGACCTGTTGGTCTTCAATCCTGCCGGCACAAGAGTTTAACCCATTGCACCACCTCTGTGCCTGCTGAAACTTCACAAGGTTCTTCAGAAGTAGTTCACGGGTTGTGCACTTTTTGAGCAAAGTTAAGCCCAGAAATACCTCATACTGCAAGCTTGTTCATTGAAGGTCATTACTTGACCCATTCAAAACGTAGGCTGAACAAAATATTTGTGTCTGTATATTTTCATCTGAATTAATCAGGTTTTTTTGTGAATTTGACATTGCCCTCGGAACATTTTTTGCATTTGAAAAATCAAACAGAATGAGCATATATGATATGGGAGGTGGAGGTGCAATATTTATATTTCCTTCACAAGAGATCTGATGGCTAATTCTTTTTTTAAAGATCCCTTTAGAACAAGTTATACCTCAGAGGCAGAATGCCCACTTGAGAAATGGACACAGCTCAGGGAAAGGCGAATGCAATTCTAGGCTTTTTTATCATGTCAGAAGGAAATTGAGATTATACTGCAAGTGTAACCCATTGCAATGGTGCAATGGGTTAAACCCTTCTGCTGGCTGAACTGCTGGCCTGAAGAACTAAAGGTCAGTGGTTCAAATCTGTGAGACGGGGTGAGCTCCTGTCTGTCAGCCCCTGTTTCCCATGCAGGGACATGAGAGAAGCCTTCAACAGGATGGTAACACATCCGGGTGTCCCTTGGGCAGAGGGCCAATTCTCTCATAAGTAAATTCTAGGCTGCATTAATAAGATTATCACATCTTGATTGAGGGGAGTAATAGTACCATTCTGTTCGTCTTTAGACAGAGCTCACCTGGAATAAGACTGTCAAGTTTTGGGCACCACAAATCATGAAGAATTTTGACAAGCAGTAGTCTGTCCAAATAAGTTATAAAAGCTCTCAAAGCCAAGCCCTGGTTATGTTATGTTTAGAGCCCCCGGTGGCACAGTGGGTTAAACCGCTGAGCTGCTGAACTTGCTTACCAAAAGATTCCAGGTTCAAATCCGGGGAACAATGTGAGCTCCCGCTGTCAGCCCCAGCTTCTGCCAACCTAGCAGTTTGAAAACATGCAAATGTGAGTAGATCAATAGGTACCGCTCTGGTGGGAAGGTAATGGCACTCTTTGCAGTCATGCTGGCCACATGACCTTGGAGGGGTCTATGGGGCCTTTGAGATCTCTTGGGGGATGAATACAACCCCTCAGCGGTTGCCCATCCATAATCTGTGTCCATGAATGAGGAAGGCAAGGAGAGACTAGCAGACGTGGTCGCATTGCATTAGGGATGGTCACTCTATAGAATATCAAGTTCAGATCATCTTCCTTTTAATCCATTCCAAAGATCACTACAGCTTCTCAGCTTCTCATTCATGCTCTGCAGATTATGACTCTTTGTAGCAGGATGAGCAGCTCTAGCAAAAGGAGATGTATACTTGAGAGGGGGAAATAGTTGTCTGCCAAATCTATGGAAGGTTATTCGTTCAAGGGTGATGACTGAAAAACACGCCCGTTCAGCCGCTATCCTGCTTGTCACAAATGACTTGGATTCTTCCACAGTCTGCATTGGAAAATTACAAGAGATATTTTAAGGTCTTTAAAGTTTTCTTCTGAGGTGATGTATGTGGTTTAGTTTGAAGAACCATGCAATTATGTTTTTTTAAAATATCATGTTTATTGAAAGTTCAAGACCAAATAAATAGTTTGCACCCTGTAAAAATATGCATTACATTCAAAACAAGGGGCTGGAACATTTTGGGAAGTTTAAATCTTTGTTTTCCACCATCTGTGTCTTTCTACCTGACTGCATCCAAGAAAGAGGAGGGGGACTGTAATGAGATATTGCAGTGTTAGATTGTTTTTCTTCAGAGTCTAAAACAACCATGGCCATTTCAAGAAGACCCCAATCTCTCTTGTTTATCTAGGCAACTTTCCCCAATTGGAGCCCCCGATAGCACAGTGGGTTAAAAAGCTGAAATGCTGAACTTGCTGACTGAAAGGTCGCAGGTTGGAATCTGGGGAGCGACGTGAATTCCTGCTGTTAACCCCAGCTTCTGCCAACCTAGCAGTTCGAAAACATGCAAATGTGAGTAGATAAATAGATACCACTCCCGCAGGAAGGTAACAGCACTCCATGCAGTCATGCCAGCCACATGACCTTGGAGGGGTCTATGGACAACTCCGGCTCTTTGGCTTAGAAATGGAGATGAGCACCAAACCCCAAAGTCGGACATGACTGGACTTCATGTCAGGGGAAAACCTTTACCTTTTTACCTTTCCTCAATTTGCCACCATCAGTCTGTGCCAAATGGACACATTCACTTCTAATGGGGCTGTTCTATGTTTCCTGTCTCATACATCCAGTTGAGATTAGCTCAGGCCCACGGTGCCCATCCTGAGACCAGTCTTTCCTCCTCCTTGTTGAATAAGCTCACTATGTAACAATATGAAATGTCAATTAGTCATATTTGGTTATACAGTAGAGTCTCGATTATCCAACATAAAGGGCCAGCATAACATTGGATAATTACCTGTCCAAACGCATCTCCCTCTATGTACCATCGTGGAGATTAAGATCCTCCGGGGAGGCCCTGCTTTCCGTCCTGCCATTGTCACAGGCACCATTGGTGGGGACGAGGGACAGGGCCTTCTCGGTGATTGCTCCCCGGCTATGGAACTCCCTTCCTTGTGAGATCAGGTCGGCCCCCTCCCTCCTGTCCTTTAGAAGGATGGTAAAAACTTGGCTGTGGGACCAAGCTTTCGGGACAGGGCAATGAAGCAATAATGGGAAAGATGACAGGGCCAATTGGATTTGATGCGGATGGCTAGGATGGTTTTAAATTGTGTTGTTTTAAATGGTGTATTTTAATATTTAGATAAATGTTTTTTAATGTTTATGTATTGTACCCAGGCATTGAATGTTTGCCATGTATATGTTGTGCTCCGCTCCGAGTCCCCTTCGGGGTGAGAAGGGTGGAATATAAATGTCTTAAATAAATAAATAATAAATAAGTGAAAACATTGGGTAATAAGGAGGGATTAAGGAAAAGCCTATTAAATGTCAAATTGCATTATGATTTTACAAATTAAGCACCAAAACATCATGTTTTACAACAAATCAACAGAAAAAGCAGTTCAATACACGGTAACGTTATGTAGTAATGACTATATTTACAAATTCAGTACAAAAACATTGCGATGTATTGAAACAGCAGTGGATCTGGGCAGGAGGCAGACTGTGTTTGATAATATAGAAGATTGGATGAGCGAAAGTTAGATAAGCAAGACTACTGTACTCTTTCTTCTCCATTTCTTTTCCTTGTTTTTAAATCTTGCTTAGGATTTTAAAGAATGCTGTATTTTTAAAAAAATATTATGGCCATCAGGCCTGGTGGTAACGTTGTGTTTTAATAGTTGCAGGCAAAATACATTTTGTCTCTTCAACCTTATGACTCCCGACAACTATTAATAGTACAAGAATGCTTGGGTGGAGGTAGCTGAGAGAAATCAGCAAAATATTATCAGAAATGTTCCACAGCTCTCCTTAAAACTGGATAGGATATTTATGTTTGGATATTAGATTATGTTACAATCCTGGACTCAACATTAATAATCCATAAAAAAAAGAAGCTGTTTGTTGTTTTTTAAAAATCTGTATATATTGATGTGATTGAATTTACAATCTAATAATAACTCTTCTTAATTTGTCCATTTAGGTTATTTGAAGAAGAATCCCCGCACCCAGCATGAATAAACAAAGTACTATCCAAACACGATCTTAAAGAAATAATCCTTAGGTCATGGCTTTAAAACACTGATCAACTTCCCAATATTAAGTAACTTTCCAATATTTAGTAATCCTGTAAGAAATCCAATAAGAAAATATATAAAGCATAAATTGAATCTTCAACACCTGTAACTGCCAGCAATGGATTTTGTTTCATAATTAAAAAGGAGAGGTAACAAGCAATTATTCCAGCTCAGC